GGGACTGACCGGAAGGGCTGGCCGCTCAGAAATCGGTTGGAGCGGCGGTCGTGAGCTGCCAGACCATGCTGAGTGGAGCCTGCGGCAGGCTCGCCTCAGTGCCGCTGCAGACGCGCGCGCCGTGGTCCGCGGTCGCCCGTCGGTGCCTGTGCGTGTCGAGGCCGCGGTCCTCGGCGGACCGGAACCAGAGGACCGGGAAAGTGCCCCAAGCTTTCGACCCCTTGCTGCTGGAGTTCTTGGTGTGCCCGCTCTCCAAGAAGCCGCTCAGGTGAGATGAGCCAGCTGCGTGTCCTTTCGCGGCCTCCCATGGCGGGGAGGCGGCCGGTGGGCCGCGCGGCCGCTTACAGCCGTGGGGGAGCCTTTCAGGTCAATCCGGGTATTCTCCGCTGCCATTTTCTGGGGCCCCGCCAGGTTCCACGCACCTCCCCGTGTGGCGGGAAGGGGGCGGCAGGAGGCTGCAGGGGAGCCATGCCCCAGGCCTCTCAAATCAAACCTCCGACCCGCAGGCATGAACAGGAACTTTTAGAGGTTCGCCACCCGAGTGCGTCAGAATTGCGGGGGCCCGGCGGTTAAAAAATGCCGATTCCCAGGCACCACCCCAGGCGACCCAATCGGAAGGTCTGAGGGCAGGGCCTGAGCAATTCTGTATTTTTCTTAGAAGGACCCAAAGTGTATATTCTAATCAACAGCCAGGTTTATGAAGTACTGGCACTCAGGACTAGCCCAAGGCATTCAGGTTTTGAAGCCACGAGGATGAAAAGCACACGGTAGTGGCCTCGACTCTCGTGAAAATGCCGTGCACAACTGATGCCTGACGATCTTAAGCGTGTCAAGTACGTGTGCTGCCTTTGGGCTTTTAGTTCCGGACTAGCTGGTTTTGTAAAGGCCTCCTAAACCTTTAATAACTTATAATCCTTAGGATAAACAGCTCGACCGTTTCAGGCTTCTAAAACTGAATTTTGACATGAGTATTGCAGATTAAATATATTAAACACCAGAATGTTATGAGTGGTTATCTGTGGGTGGTAGATTGCTAATAATGTTAATTTTCACCATTTTGCATTTCTAGGTTTTTCCCATAATTAACACAATTTTTTTTAACCTTGAAATTATCATTTGATCTACGGCAGATTGCTGTTTTCCAGAGTTTTCTCATTTCTGCCCTTTCATCTTTCACAAACTTTTGTGTACTTTGATTTTTCAGAGGTTTCTTTCTAATGGATTAGTTAGGTTGCTCTTAATAAAGCCTGAATTCCAAAACAAGGAAGTTGAAATTTTCTCTAACATCTGTCCCAGAAGTAAATTAACTGGGATGGTTTTGTGGGGGGCCAAAGTAATGAAGAAATATTTGGGTGAAAAGGGGAGATCTTTTTTGACTGGCATTTTTAAAAATTAAGGCATAGCTTGAGAATAAAGTGAAAAAAAAAAAAAGAGAAACTGACTAGAGATTCATTTTCTAACAGAAATGGTTCAGTTGGCTATTGCTGCTTTTAGAATTAAAAGGAATTTAATTCTGCTTTTCTGGGATTAAATCTGAAGAATTGGATAAATGGTGGTGTTTACTGAACATCAAGCTCTTCCAAGCATTTTGTTTTCCACAATTCATTTTGTTTTTCTTTTCCCTCTCAGATACGAAGCATCAACAAATGAATTGGTTAATGAAGAGCTGGGAATAGCCTATCCAATTATTGATGGGATTCCTAATATGATACCACAAGCCGCTAGGATGACACATCAAAATAAGCAAGAAGATACGGAGAAGCACTAGATCATAATTAAAAACAACAAACACAGCTAAATTTTCTTAATAACATCTACATTTTAAAAAGTCAGGGTGGCAGGTAATAAGTGGAGGAGAAGAATGTTTCTTTCTCTTCCTGTGTTGACTGTCCTTATTCCATTGGTCTCTTTAGCAGGACTGTTCTACTCGGCCTCTGTGGAAGAAAACTTCCCACAGGGCTGCACTAGCACAACCAGCTTGTGCTTTTACAGCCTGCTTTTACCCATTACCATACCAGTTTATGTGTTCTTCCACCTTTGGACTTGGATGGGTATTAAACTCTTCCGGCATAATTAATGCAACCAGAGCCAAAATGGTACATACATTAATGCTGTGTCGAATGTCTATAACTGAAAGTTCAGCTGCATGGAACTACCAGGGACACGCCTAATTTGCAAGAAAGATGCTATACCTTGCTTCTGTCAGAGACTTAGGACTATGGGACGCTTAGGCTGTAGAAGCTTCTTTTATTGTACTTTGGTTCTGCTCTTGTTTTTTGAAAGTTCTAACTTGTAACTGCTAAATCAAAAGAAATATTTCAACAAAGTGTGTTGTTTTAAATTACAGCCCCAACCATCATCTGATGATTTTATTTCTCATCCCATTCATCTAAAAGTTAATTTGCAATTTTGTGTTTATTTTAGAATCAAAGTCTTTGGTAAAGTCACATGTTACAGATAACTGAAATAATTCCACAGGAGCTCTGTTGGAATAGTTGGAGAGAAATGCATTTGAACGAGTGTATATAAAACTACAATAAAGTGGAAATTTCATGGACTTGCAGAATTTCTGAGTTTGTAAAATTACCTTCATTTCTTTGGCATCAAATGCTTGTATTAGTAGTAAGACAACACTTTTCCATAAAACAGTTTTCATGGTTTTGCGTATTTTGGTTTTGGTCACAAGAATGTAGGTCTAAGAAAGGGGGAAATGTAAAGATATTCTAAATTTTAAAATGTAGGCTATTTTTAAAGACCTTAATACCCCAAATAGAGTAATTTCCCAGGAAAAGTATGTACCTTTGGAGGTAGAGGTAGGGTTGGAAGACTTGCAAATAGTTGTGCCCTATTGCGCTTAACAGCTATATTTTGAGCCACATTTTATTTTATTTTTCTGCCTTAGGAAACTTTCAACAACACTGATGGAGAATAGTACCATAACTATTTCAGAGTTATAAATGTTTCAGTAGTTACCCTAAAGAAACTAAGAATTGAATATACTAAACTTAATTCATTCTTACTAGAATCTTAAATTTAACAGAAGCTTTAGACAGTGATTCTTATCCATCAAAATAAAATGAAAACATGACAGATGCAATACAGCTTTGCCCTCATCCACTTCCTTTGTGCTGTTAATGGCAATATGATACAGACCCCAAATACAATTGTATACATACTGTTTTATATAATTGTTCTGCAAATCAGTTAAGAAAAAAAGACTGCATTCAGTTTTATAATTATGTGATAACCTGTACTCCTGGTGGCTATTGTCATGCATATTTCATCTACATATTACAAAATCCAACAATATTTCTATAATGTCTCAAACAGAGAAGAACAAGTATCTATTTGTAGCATAGTTATATTAACCTTACATATTTTTTCTCGTTTTCTTCATTTGTTCCTGTGAAGTCGTTAACTGGGCGACTTCTAGTGACCCCTCTCAGCCACAACACCCTTCCTTGAAAATTCTCCCATATTTTCTAGTGATCCTTTTCCCAAGTTCCTCACTAACAGTCATCCTGGCTTCCAACCATTAATGGGGTCTCTTCTTCACTAGCTTCCCATTACATAGCTCATGCCACACACACATTGACCTCATCACCTGTTACACTATAAACACACCATGAAAAATACTGTCTTTTTCACTAATTGGGACTCTTCCCTTCTCCCCAATGATTGACTTCACAATGACGGGACCTCTTGACTCCTTAGAGCATCTTAACGATGATCCTTAGTGTCATCTGACGTCACTGATTCGGACCTTCAGTCACCTCGTGAATAAGATCCTACCAGCTTTCTAAGAGAATTAACCACTTGAGGGAGCAAAAAAGGACTTGTCATGACCTCTCCCTCATTTTCTTCCAATCCTGCAGAGTGGGCTTTTAAGGAAGCCTTTCTGAACTTCAGACTGCATCTGTAAGATGAAAAGGATACCTACTTCCAGATCCAGCAGGAGTTTTAAGTGAGGTCGAATATACAGAATTACTTGGCATAGCAAAGAAGCATAGTAGATTCTCACTACTACGTGTGTTTGTAGGGAGAAAGGCCCGTCCCCCTTGCCAAGTTTTGTACCTTAGTGAAATGCTCCATTTGGAAGTGACTGCTATGTCCTACATATGCCACTAGGTGGCACTTTTCGCTAACTCATGGGACTACTGGCAACTAAGCAGAGGCACTTCTTGCAAAATGCAGAGCTAGATAGTAATATTCCACAATCATGGCTTCTAGATAGCCATGAGAGTTGAAGGGAATGCCAAGAAACAAGTGAATAACTCAGAGGGGGAGGTGAAATTGAGAGGAGGTGAAGGAGGAGGAGCAATATGGGTGGGGTGAGAAGATGGTTCAGGCAGAAGAAAACGCATGTGTGAAAATAGGAGACTGGCCCATTCAGGAAACAGACATACAGGGCAATGGTGGGAGATGGGGCTGGAGATACATGAGGCACCTCAGAAAGGATATGGGAGCTGTAGTAGTGTGAACAAAGGATGGCTTGTTAGCTCAGTTGGTTAGAGCGTGGTACTCATAACACTAAGGTTGCTGGTTCAACCCCCACATGGGCCACTGTGAGTTGTGCCCTCCATAACTAGATTGAAACAACTACCTGACTTAGAGCTGACTTTTCTTCCCAGACCAAAAAAAAAAAAAAAAACATTCAAAGTTACAGGGGTATGTTATGGACTCCTATGATGGCAAGTACTCCTATTTGCTGTCCAGTACACTAGCCACCGTCACATGTAGTTATTGAGCACTTGAAGTGTAGCTAGTGTGATTGAGGGACAGAATTTTTCAATAGCCACATACTGAACAGCAGAGCTCTTACTTGGTTTTACCCACTACTACCAACAAACCTTACCTTACTGAGATTTCTAGCCTCACAGAACATGTATTGGACAGTGTTGGTCTAGATACAAGACCAGATGAGAGGCGACTGCAGGGATGGGGCAGACGATGAGAGCCTGAACAGCACTGACAGTGAGGTTAGAGATACTTACAACTAAAATTGTTGGGACATGACTGATTATTGAATGTGGGGGGTGAAGAAGAGGGTGGAAGGGAAGATGATTGCAGGATCTGCCTGGAGATATTGCTGGTATACCCCAAACTGTGGAATACAGGAAAAATCATTTTCTTCTTGAACAGGTTAAGATTAAGGAGCCAATGGGCATGCAGGTAGAGACACGGACTACACAGAAAAATGGCTGTGGTTTAGAAGGTTTCAGTTCCTGTAGGTCAGAGAAATCTTTGAGTATCAGCATGGAAGTAACTGAAGCCATGGAGTTAATAAAGAGTATGTACAAAGAAACGAGGACTGCACTAGCATTTTAGGTCAAGGGAATATAAAAGAAACATGCAAAGGAGAGGGGAAAGAAGCCAAAAAAATAAAGCCTCAGTCTAACAGTTCATGCCAGTTTTGAGGAGAAAATACTCAACAGTTTCAAATGCAACAGATATGATTACGACAGAAATGGGCAAGTTTCCATCAAAATATGCAACAGGTAAGTCAACCATGACTTTTATTACAGCAGTTTTAGTTGGGGAAGCACCACTTCGGCCCTGGAGAAACTCCTCAGATGTTTATGGAAGAAAAACTTCTATCTTGTTTAACGTACTATGTTTTAGAGTCGACTTGTTTTAACAGCCTCACCTATGACTAATAGATATTACATGCAAAAACACAATGATTCTAAAAAAGCAAATAAACATACTGAACCACCAATACTTCTATGTTAATAAATTTTTGAATGAATTTTATTTTTGAAAATATTTGCAAAAATGGGTAAAGAGTATGAGGTAGGGTCAGCCAAATCCTGTGTTGTTGTTGATGGCTACTTGAAGCGCTTCTTCCACTCTTTCCATTGTAGAATATTTCGGGAGGTAGAGGACCCTAAAACATGTCTTTGCGCGTATGGGATCTTTTTCATTCAAATTTTCAGGACAGCAAAATGTTATTTTCATACTCTTTAAACGTTTTACTTGAATTCTGTCAGTTCCTGTAAGAAACACTAAAAAGAAGAATACAACTGAGTGATCTGCTTCACAGATCACCAAAACTTAGAGAAAACATTTTTATTCAAAAACATTTATTGAGGGCTCATGTGCAGAGTTTTCTACATTAGACTGCATTGGGACCACACTGGGACTAAGGGTGACACACAGTCACTGACCTTGAGCAGGTTACGTCTGGTTGGGAATATTAGATTATTGTGCAGAAAAAGATAAACAAAATAAAAACAAAAGGGTGTAAGACAGCCAAATAAAATACTGAATTAAATGCCCCGAGAGTAAATGCTGTGGTTCAGAGCAGGGAGGGAGAATCAGGCTGGGATGACTGGGGAGACTTCCAAGAGTTTGGAATTAGTCTGAATCTTTAAGGAGGGAAAAGATTATAGAAAGGCAACAAGGAGGTGGGTGAAGGTTCAAGGCAGGGCAAGGGGCTTCAGAGAAAGCCTGAAGGTGGGAGTATGCAAGGAACCACAAGGCCTGGATAACTGAATGATGACACTACTACAGAAAGAGGGCTCAATAGTTAGCTTGGATGAAGAAAGGAAGAAAAATTTTAAAGCAACACGCAGGGTTGAAATCACAGGGAAAAAGACCTATATTAACATTTATTTTTTGGGCCAGCTGAGTGGCTCATTGGTTAAGAGTTGGCTTGGGAGCACAAGCTCTGAGCGGCAGGGCCGCTGGTTCGGTTCCCACATGGGCCAGTGACGCTGCACCCTCTACAACTAAGATGGTGAACAACAGCTCGACCTGGAGCTGAGCTGCCGTGAGTCGCCAGCAACAGCGTAGACTGCAGTGGGCTGCCATAAGCTACCTAGTGAGTGGCTGGCAGTCAGCGTGAAAGGCCAGCAGTCTACGAGAGCTGCCGTGAGCCGCCATGAGCGGTCATCCAATGGCCAGCAACCATCTGCCTCACCCGGGAAGAGCGCAATGATCACAATACCAACATGGGCCAGTGAAGCAATGTCCTCCACAACTAGACCGAAGAACAAAAGGACAGCAACTTGTCTGTTCCCCTCCCCCAATTCCCCAATAAAATCTTTAAAAAAAAATTTTTTTTTTATTTTTTGATGTTGGGGCAACATGGCATAGACATTCAAGTGGACTAGGGGTGGCTCTTACACTAAGTATGAGTTGTTGCAAATGGCACCTATGACAAACAAGATTTTCTTATTCTGTAAAAAGACAAAAGATTATAGATCTACTCCTGATGTAATACTTACTAAGGAACTTCTTCTTTTCCTCCAAAGTCAACTTGTGTAAGGCCTTCCAAAACATCACTATGGTGGGATGTGAATTGTCATATCCTTGTTCGTAATGAGCATTCTAAAAAAAAATGCATAAGAAAAAAAAAAAGTATTCAGGAAATAGAAAAATTTTAATTTGAACTACTTGGCCTTTATGATGTTTACAAACCTTTTCCAATGTTTCCCAGTCATAATCTGTACTTCCAATAATCACATCCTTTAGTTCTTCAGGATGGAAAATTTCAATAATCTCTTTGTCACACACTTTGTAAAATCCTCTTTGAAATTCTTCATAAACTGCCTTTACAGAGAT